GATATGTTTCTCAAACCAGTTTACGTATTAAAAGTTCCTTGAGGGAGAAATATTTAACATGTGTTGGTAAAGATGCAATTTATGTATAATTTTTAAAGCTACTGGAGGAAGAAGTAATTTTTTCCATAGGTTTTTAAGAAGAAAATTTGGGGAAAAATCATACTGCATAAAATATCCCCTTACCAGAATATTTTCCCCATCCTTAGCTGCAATATATCTCTTCTAATGTTAAATTTCTTTCTATTTGATTTACATAGCCCTCATTGATTAGTAAGCAGGAGAACAGATAACATGCTCTGTTTAACATATCAACTTCATCTAGCTTGCTAAGCAGTTCTGCTCTACAAAGTAGTATCTGTCATTATGTTGCTTTTTTCCTGGATGATGTGCAGTTTTAAACTTGCTAGTCAAATTTTATTCAGAACGAATCATGAAAATCAGCCAGTTTTGCTCCAGTTATCTACAGCCATAAAGCCACATACTTGCTTTTTATAAAATCAGACTGAAAAAAATCGTAAGAGGGGAGAGAAATCTGAAGTCCCAAGCCATTTGTTTCTGAAATTGTAAGTGTTGTTTGTGTGTTGGCCGGACTATACAGATTGGTTTTCTTCTGTGTAGGAGACATCCTGGTGTTCTTGACTGGCCAGGAGGAGATTGACACAGCTTGTGAAATTCTCTATGAGCGGATGAAGTCTCTAGGTCCAGATGTTCCTGAGCTGATAATCTTGCCTGTTTATTCAGCACTGCCTAGTGAGATGCAAACACGGATCTTTGATCCAGCTCCCCCGGGAAGTCGAAAGGTATCTATTCCCAGTTATTTTACTGGGTGGCTGTGGTCTTTCAATATAATATAATTAATAATTAAATCTTTTCTAGATCAGAGGGTCCATTAAGCATCTTGTTCTCCAGGGTAAAACGTTTTCTTGAAACCTGTTAAAAGGCTGGAAGACATAAAAAGTTTTCCTGTTGTCTTCTTATCCTATAAATATGTGGATTCCTGATCACTGGATTAATGGGGGGGAAGGCATGGGGGGCACACATTCTTGCATCTGAGAAGGTAGAATAAATGTTAAAATGTTTTTTGAGGCGCTGTGAGGAAGTTGCATATATTTGATAGTAAATCAACAAGTTTACATATTGAGTGCTTTAAGGATTCTTGGGTAGATACTGTTTCTTGTTCTCATTTTAATAGTCTCAGTTAACCCTAGAGCTGCATTCCCTGTCCTCTATTTCATATTGTTCTTCAGGTGCCTTTTTTGGGGAAAAAATACAGACCAGGTTATAAGTTTAACATCTTCAGTGAAGATGTCTACTACTACTACTACTACTACTAATAATAATAATAATAATTTATTATTGTTGTTGTTGTTATTATTATTATTATTAAACTTTATTGTCATTGTACCTCGTACAATGAAATTAAATGCCATCCCCAGTGCACTTTAGATTCTGTGTTAGAGCACTGTGAATGTTAAGCTTGCTTTTTGTAGCAATTTACAATTTATTGCTCTGTTTATGCACTTTGCATAACATTGCCTATCCTGAAAGGAAACACCATGGTAGGTATGTATGTAAAGCTAAACGGAATAGCTACACTATCTGTAATGCACATGCATAGTGTACTCATCTGCATTTGATAGTCTGCCTGAAAAAGAAAATATAATATATAAAATGCACAGGGACAAGAATATTCAATGCATGAATTCTAATTTCCTATACCAGGAAATATTAGTATTAGTTAAATTTGCTGATGAGGCAAGCAAGATTTGTTTATCCTTTTCCCCTGTTGCTTAAACAGGGATGGAAATTGTGCTTCCTTTTTTATTAGCTAGTGCACTCTCCAAGTCTCGAAAAAATGATTTAAAAATCCAGTCACATAATATGTAAGAAGTTTTGGCTTGTTGTTTTGCAAGCTCAGAAAACTAAAAATAGACATTCTGCTCAGAATATTTTATACATCCCTGTTCTTTAAAATGCTCTTGTTTCCTTCCTTTGCTCTGCTCATTAATCCCATTAATATTGGACTTGATACTTTTCCTAATATAGTATAGTAATTTTAAATAACTTCCCATCACAAAGGAGAAGATTTTCACTTGAGCTGCTTCTTACAACCTCATTTTAATTAATCTTAAATCTTAAATAATTAATATTTAGAAGTTTTTTGTTTTGAAATCAGATATGACAGTTCTGGGCAATGTCCCATTCCATATGTATTTGATAGCAATATATGCACACTTCCAGCTGGCTTCAACAGTGTGTACATTTTGCTTGTAAATGATGCCACTGGCCTGGTGCACACCTGTCCTCTGCTTCCTTTAATCATTTTTAGCCACACTGTAACTTCCTAGACTAAAAAAATCAGAGGTGATGCCTCTAGCCATGAAATAGAGATGTCTGC